CATTCCCCTTCGTAGTCCCATTCGACGACGTTATTCGCGAAGGCATGATAGGCAGTGCGTGTACACACCACTCTCACCTTTCGTTACTGGACTGATTGCAACTATCGCTTTGCAGAATACACACGTATGTCCGATGCATTGGCCCAGCTTTCCCAAAGCTCTGGACAACCGCCATTCCTATTTTCGCTTTGTCAATGGGGCTGGGTGTGTGTGTCTCACTATGTTTGCTCTTCAGTAAGTCTGACGTTGCTTAGGAACAAGTCTGGCTGTTTGTCCCCGTTTTTGTTCTCCCACCCTCTGAGTATCACTAACGGTTTACGGGTCTGTACAGTTGGGGATCAACATTAGGCCATAGTTGGAGGGTGAGTATCAGCTTCCTTGTCCGTTCACCGTCAATTTGAGACACTCTTTCTCCCCCCTCTACGTTCGCTCGCTCAGGTTACTGGCGATATTGCACCGGAGTGGGACTCTCTAGCGCTTATCATCAACTTGTAAGTCCGTTAAAGAATCTGTCACAATGCGATAACATTTTGCACATGCAGTAACTCCTTCATCACCCAAGCCACGGACTTCTATGGGCACAATGACATGGATATGGTACGTTCCTTCCGTTAAAATTTCAATCAATGAGTTAACTGTATCTTTTCTGCCATACCGTAGTTACAATTGTACTATGCTTTTTCTTTCCGTAACATTTGAGAATCGTTGTTGACACGTCCGGTTGACACAGAGGAAATGGAGGACTTACTTTTGATGAGGCCAAGTCTCATTTCACAGCGTGGGCATTGATGAAATCACCTCTTCTTGTAGGTGCCTCTGCGGTAGCTTCGTATGACCTGATTTATCTTTTCCCCGGCTTCCTTCTTGTATTTCAGATCGGAACCAATGTAAGCACATTCCTCACGCTAATGAAAGAAAGCTTATATGACTTCACCGAACAGTTATCTGCTATTACACCCGACATACTTGGAATCCTCACTAACACGGAAATCCTTGCTATCAACCAAGATCCTGTTGTCGGCAAATCAATCTCACCATTTAGGTGGGGAATTAATGTGCAGATCCTTACCTTTTTCACCTTGTATGTTTGCCTCACTGTTCCCTCGTACAGCCCGACTGGACAAGCAATTCCACCTCTCCAGCTCAGTATTACAGTGGTCCTTCTGAAAATGGAACTGTTTTCATGCTTGTAAGTTTCTCCTGCCCAGCTTGAACTGTTGTCCATGCTCATTCGTATGTTAAAGTTGAACACCCTCAACGAGACGTCTGACATGTTTTTCAACCTTACTGAATCTCCCTGGATCAGAGCCGGAAGGCAATACTCCGTTCGCGTACGTATTCCTCCCCCTGTCATTTGTTCACCTCCCTTATGAGAAACACAACAGGATCTATGGACTCATACTGACAACGGAACCGCTGTGCGCAACTTCACCGCGGTCGATGTCCCGCCTCATGGTGTAGTCGCACTATTGCTCGACGATGCAGGAGACGAACCCGCGGGCATTTTCCCTCCCTGTGCGGTGTGGTTTAACTGCGCGTATGAAAATGGCACAGCTGCCAACTGAGCACGTATAACACCTAGTACATATGTGAACTATCGAAAAACCCAAAATGTTTTACTACTACTGCACTTACTCACGATAAAGGTCTGGATGTGTGACAAGCACATTCATCCCGCTCGCCTTGTACTGTTCACAGCTCTTGATTAACTTTTTTGCTTCCTCTCGATTACTCGGATGCTTGGTATCGATGCAATGTATCCACAATTTCGACAACGAGACGATATTGGATCCGCGCAGTGTATTCAAACTCGACTCTGAGTTGGGTTCAGGGGGATCGGAGGTAGCCGCAGTGTTCGCTTCAGTCACTGAAGTTCGAGCTTTTTCGATTGATGACACTCCATGGGCAACACTAAGTTTTCCAGTTCCCCCAGAATCCCCTCCGTCCTTAGTAGTTCCCGAATCTACCGCCCGCACAACGCTCTGCGTTTGGCCACTTAAGGACATATATATGCTGTGCCATCTCCTCGCTTCCTGCTCTTTATCCACATTTCCACTATCTTTCCCACAGTTCATATCGACAACTTCATCCCCGGTATCTGAATCATCTACTGTACGATCTTTGAGAATCGCGTAATTTAAAGGCCAAGAATGCGGTACGAACCTTCAATACATGACAACTCTGAGCTTCGGTCCGCGGTTGTTAGATCAGTGGCAGATTTCCACCTAGCGCGGATGAGCTTGAGTACCACTTCGGTTTGAGGTATGATTATCAGGGAGAGATCCGTTAGATTTGGCAAGAAGGATGGTGAAGTTCGGTCTTTCTGAGTTGTAGCAACTGCGGCTGTAACACCAACCTCGGCACCATTATTGGTACTAGGGGCGGCATCCCCCTCTACTTGTGTTTGCGTGACCCCAGTTGATATCCTTCCGCCCACCTCTGCATTACAACCAGAAGGAGTGGCATTTTTGGCAATATCCTTTTCCTGGTAATGGGCAGTCAAACCATCAAAGAAACATTCATATGTTGCATCGCCAGTTTCTTCAAACTCCATATGCGTCACCAATGATAGACACGAGTCGAACAGACGATGCATCCGATCCTTGTTGAACTGCGCCCCGCGAATATGCACGTGAGTCACTGAGCACATGCTTCGCTCAAGCATATCACGAAGAGGTTCGACAAAGTTCTCGTTGTTGAGGAAAGTGTCAAGAATGGCGAGGTGAGTTAGACGGGGCATAGTAATTGATTTGAGGAAATTTTCAAGGTCAGTGTTGCCTCTCAGTCCGTCGAAAGAACGGATACCAAAATCAACAGACAAACTTTTGGCATTACAGACTCTGGCCATTTCGGGTTTTACACGAGCACTCGTTGCGCCGAACGTGCACAGGTGCGTCACTGTGACATTCTGGACGTTTGACAATATCCCAGGATATCAAGCACGGATACAAAAGAGAGCTCACGCATGACGAGGTGTGTGATGGACGGTCGATCGTGGAGGAGACGCAGAAAGAAGCCACGTAAATGCAAAATACGGAGTTTAGGGCAATTAATCAAGAACTTTGGTACACTGGTCTCCGTTTGGGAACCTGTATCAATATCAAGTTTCACCAGTTCGGGGAGGTCAAGTTTTGAATTGACTAGCTTTCGAAGAACATACTCGTTGAACCCGTGAGCCACGCCAGCAAAGACTGCTACATGCCAACGTCTGGTGGTTTCCGTGTTCAAAATGAGACCTAGTTGCTTCGCGGTTCCTAGGCGAAGTTCGATTTTGAAGTCAATGGGGTGGAATTGAGAACGCGTGAGAAACGACGAGAATGATGGACCAAGGTTGTCTCGATTTCGGGCTACGCATCTAATACCGAAACATGACCATAGCACGGGTGTAGTCGCGATGAAGCGAAACCATCTGCTACACACACCACGAAGCGTAAGAGTGGGGAGAGGCTTTCGCCAGACGGTATAGTCGATGTAATTGACACCTGCGTCCTCGCAACAGACGTATTTGAAGATTTCGACGAGAATGTCCTCAGAGAGTCGATTGATTGGGGCTAACAAATGCTCGAGGCCATACGCATAAGCGGTCAAAAACTTTTGCTGCTCTTCAATCGAGTGCATTGCGTCGCGTAATCGAGTTATTTCCTTTTGACATTGATCAATGTATCCCTGAGCATCGTCCAAGGAATCTTCATAGCGACAACGCTGGAGGGAGGTAACACGAAGCCCTGAGCGCACATGCTGAACGATTTCCTGGAAATCATTCAAGAAAAGGGTGAAACGGATGGAGTCGCCACATTTTAGGCATAAACGAGTAGCAGTGGGTTGGCTGGGCCAATGGAGTCGAGATATGGATCCTACCAGCCGATGAGAGCCTCGACTAACGGAAAATAAGAAGTCTACCCTGCGGTTTGGTTTTGAAGGACATGTCGCTATGGAATAAGAACCGTTGAAAGTAAGATTACATAATGATTTTGCGCCGAAAAAATTATACAATGGTCGGTAGTCGGTAGTCTTTGGAATCAAAGGTGGTATAGTGCACGCTGTCAAAGGGAAACATAAGTGGTAGCAGCGAAAGACTATCATAATTGGTCTTCAGTAGAGGCACCGCGATGCAAATGTGTGAGAATCCCCATAGCATGTACAAAGAACGGTCGAATCTCGTTGATTTCCATTGAGGACAAGTTCGATAACTGTTAAGAGGTCAGCAAGGTACTTCCAGCCCTCTAGAAACAAGATACGCACACTGAGTTCACTCCGATTTAATTCTTTTAAACCCTCACGACTCTTCGCCTGACGTGCTTCCCTGAGGTCCTTCAACAGAGATCGTATTTTATCTGTATTTTGAATATCGTCCGACGCGCTGGAGGTGCAGCATTGTGTCAATGAACACACTAAAGGATACGAGCAAACTTACACATCCAGCAAAACTTTCGATACTTCCGCGTATCGGAACGGGAGCCGGCTGTACCCAGGCTCGCTCAGCTCTTCATCGAGACGTGATTGAAGGAATTCTGCAGAGAATTATTTTGAAAAGTGGTGTCAGAAAGCCATGGTCTGCCTAAGAAGCCAAGTTACACGCGTACCAACACTAAGCCACTCAGGAGCGACAATATGGCATTTCTTCTTGAGCTTCAGATTAATGGCCATCCACAAAGGAATTTCAGCTCTCCGCGGGGGCTGGAGAGGACCAAAGGCACCCTAATCACCAGGGACGATATAAACGCATGGTAGGATCCAAGGTAAGGTGGCGGTTTTGCGAGTCAAAACGCGAGAGAACTACGGACAGATATGAAGGCAGTCTTCTCCATAGCGATGAGAGGGATAATTTCTATCAGCTGTTGGGAGGCAATGAATTCAAGCTCTGGAGGTGTGACGGATGTTCGCAGAGATTGTGGTAACGACATCGTGGGTGGTAGCAGAGCACAAATATGATTATAATGGTCATCGTTGCAATAGTGTGGACGGTGGGTTTCTGTTTTTCATTACTAGCAGTTTAAACATCCCTGGTAGTATATCGGTTAGTACACGCGCCTGTCATGTACGTCGGGTAGCACGTGCGCGCGAAAGCTGGGTTCGACTCCCAGCCAGGGAGTTCTGTTTTGCCTGGACAGGTCTGATATGTGTGTATCCACTGGCTTTTTATTTTCCACTGCGTTCCGCAACTTCAGCTGAATCGCAGGATATCTTTTACCTGCATTATTGCTTATTCTTGTATTTTCAACCATATCGCGATGCGTAAAGGTGCGCCGTGCCGGATTTCTGCGGTCCGCATGTCGCATGCATCGGTGTGTCACCTGGTTGCCCTCCTGCTCATTCTATGTACTCTGCCTTTGTTTTTAGAACAGACCTCATGTACTTGCCTCCAGCTAAATAAATTCACGCAATGATTCCAATTCACCCATCTGTTCCCTCTACCTGAAATGTTGTTTGTTCAATCAAGTCCAAAACTCGTGCTTGAACTCGGTCTCACTGTGGCAATACATGCTTTCAAAGTAATTGCGCAAGGTCAAATGAACTTTCCTGTAACGGTGAACATCACATCTCCAATCACGTTGGCTGTTCAACCGCTGTGTGGAACACTTCTGTCTGAGAATTTCACGGAGGTCAATACAGGTATCAAGCTTAGTCCGACAAGGTGAGATGATCAATCTTGTAGAAACGATTTAGCTAATGATTCTTGCTTCAGGACTATCGTCGCGTTCGGGGACTCTTGGACGTCTAACGGAGGTGCCCTTTCTGCTCAGACTTGATGTAACCACGTTCTGATGACTCTCGATAATCTCAACAGCGAATGGGACAGTCCCAGTACCACCAATTATGTGGCCGCCGTCCCCATCTGCAGGTTCTCAATTCACTGAAAATAGAAGAGCCAGCAATGGATTTATCTGGGTCGAGGATATGGCAAATGAACTCAGTGCGAAGTTATTGAATGTGAGTTCGCTGATGCAATTATCCTTGTCCATCTGATTGTTGACGATGTTGCGTTTCATGATCAAGTACGCCTGGGGTGGTGCGGTGATCGACAATCTGGCATATAATACGACGTCCCCTCTAAACGCAACTGTCGGTCGTGTCCTTTTGTTTGAACCTTGTAAATTCACTAACACGGCTTTGAAAGGGTGTACCACGGACTGACTTTGTCGCTGAAACCAGGTAAGTTGTAACACCCGTTTCCTGCTAGCAACGAAAGCTAATGCCTACGCCCAGTCTATTCCTTCAACAAGGCAGGTTTCTCGATGCCTTGATTCCTGATGAAACACTCTACACTGTCTCTTTTGGAATCAAGTGAGCATGATCGCACGAGGCAGCAACCGATACTGACTGTAACACCGACAGTGACGACGGACAATTCAAAATAGGTAACAGAGCAAATCTACTGTACACCTCCGATCTGAAATCCCTCTACTAACAGCTGGTGGCAATATGACCCTGGCATATGAAACCTATGTAAGCAATATGTTTACGACTGCGAACCCGGAGCATAATTCACTGTTATCGATAGGTCGCTAAACTTGGAGAACTCCAAGCCCAAGGCGCGACGAACATCTTGATACAAGGAGTACGATCTTCGATTCCCCAGGCCCGCTAATCCTGGCTAATTCCTCACATCCGATAGATGTACAAACACACCCCTGAAATCGACCTCCTACAGAATCAGATCTTTGCCTACCTGCGCGAGTCAAACACTGTCAATGGAACCAATGTCGCCTTTGTCAATCTTGAGCGGTAACTTCCTCCTGTAAGGGGATCTCTTCGCTAGTCCTGATTTCTATAAATCCATCAGCCTGTTTGATACCATTGCCTCTGATCCCTCTCCTTTCGGGTATCGTGGTAATGCTACCTGTTTAATCAGCGCAAATACGATCGTAGGAGGATGTGATGATCCTGATCATAGTGTTTTCTGGATTCGTGAGTTTTCTTCTGTTTGCGTTTGGATGTGGGGTTGACAAATGGATTTTGATTTACAGCTGGTCACCCATCCCAGAATTCGCACCGATTGATCAGTGAATATACCATGGCCGTCTTGGAGCAATGCACAGCATAAGGAGCTGATTAGACCTAGGCAATAAGTAAACTGTCGGTTATCGTGTGTTGAATGATAACTCCGCTACGTTGTGGCACGATTTTCGCGCAAAGACAATAGACCCCACCTTCAGCAGGAGTATGTAGTCCGAAGGATTAAGATTGGCTTCGATTCAAGTACGAAGACACGGGATAAAAACAGCGTTCCATTTCTCTGACATACAGCCCTTCGGAATGTTCTTGACATAAACCGAAAAAACCGATTCCCCTTCACTCAATCCTCCTTCCCATTTATCTCAATTTTCCTCAGAACCAGATCCAACTGCTTCCTCAAGCCTCTGATCTCCTCCAACATCAATGCCTCGCTCGATTGGGCTGTATTCGGGAAGACCTTGATCAACTCCGTGAACGGCACCTTGCTGATCCGCAACCCAGCATCCGCATCAGCTCCGTTAACTTCAGGATCCCTGACCGCGGGATAAGAACGATCTCCTTCATTCTCTCCGTGTAACCAGTTGGTCATCCACTCATTTTCGTGTCGTTGAAAGACGGTTTCGAAGAAGGCTATGATGGTGAGAGGGACGAAAAAGAGGACAGACATGATTATACGGTTGAGCTGTGGTGTGAGCAAGTGGAGGTTAGAATTCTTCGCAGTTGAAGTGCAAAATAGTAGACTGACCTTCGCATATTGTTTTTCGCTGAACCAATATCTACATTGCATTACCGTCAGTGTTTCCTTCGAGAAAGAGGTAGAGAAGGCTACGAACTCGAACGGTGAAACCAGGAAGGTTTCAATCAAATTGAACGGTGCTGGATACACATACGAATCCGGCGCTCGAATCATGCCTACTGTCTTGCCAGCAAAGAAAGCAAGATATTGTGCTTCTGCGTCATCCACGACCTTGAAAAATTAATGTTATGAATACAACGACAAGCACCACAAAAGTGACACTCACATCTTGGTATGCAGAAGCGAACAAGGAAATGAGCACATTTAGTAGAACGATAACTGTTACAACGTTCCAGCTGTAAATTTGGGTGAATTTTTCTGTAGTTCTACGCAGTCAAGATGAGACATACAGATAATACATGATCAAGCCCGAAGGACTATTAGCCAAAGTCAGTCGCAGTAACAAGAAAGTCAGTTGCAACACAGGTGTTCACCTCGATGAATATCGCGAGAAATCGGGCGATCTTGAAAAAGAGGGGTCAATACAGCTTTTCAACTGAAGGAATCACTTAACCTACTGGAGCAACGCTTGTACTAACGCATTGACTACCTGAATACATAAGGTCATGTTCAGCTGAAAAGGAAGATGAACAGGACGAATTCACCCCTGAAGGAGCTTCAGTAGTTCCATCCGCCGCGTCCAATGCGTACATCGCTTGTCCGAATCCAAGAGCCAAGATCGAAAGCAACTACATGTTTTCCTTAAGTGTCATAAAATTACACATGCATTCGAAAAACTACTCACAGCGAAGAAAATACCGGATTCTTGTAACATACGAGCAACGCAGATCTGCATCATCCCGACGTACTTGTATCCGTCGAATACCGTGATCAACCCTGCCGACGACGGGTCAGTCACCCAAAAATTAAGGAGCCTAGTAAACGACACGCACTCATCCTATATCATACCACAACATGGATGATCAACATCATATCATTCCAAATCATAACAGAGACTGAATAAGAACCCACCAAATAAACGGTGCAACGAAACTGAGCACTTGAAAACTATTCAGGCGCAATTTGGCGGAATAATCGGTGTTGTCATGCAAGCCGATAATGCGAAGAATGAAAGCAGCCAGGAGCAGCGAATTCGTAAGGAATGCAACAATATTCCAAAATGAGAAAGCACGCCAGGTGACGAATCGAAGGAGCTTATATAACTAGAAGGAAAAACGCGTGAAAGTTAGAGTAATGGGCTGTTTGTTTGCAGACGTGTTTGCCTACTCTATTCATGTCTAGAACAGAGTGAGTGAGCGATAAAGACTGTTGGGAGCTGTGTACCTTCAACTAGTGTTGACAAAGCAATGACATATAGAATGACTTCCCAAGCATCCATGGTATTCATATATGACGGGTCAGCTAGACGTTCGACGGGTTGTCGCACTACGCAAGGAAGGGGAAAATGTAAGCCATAATTTGAGGAGTATAGAATAGGACAGACCGGCTTGAGAATAAACGAAGAGAAAAAACAACCAGACCACGATCCGGAAAAAGTTTTGGTACCGCGGTACACAAAGACGCGATGGATTGACATGACTCCAGAAGCTTCCTGTTTGAGACTCAGAGTAGGAAACATCTACGACGTGGTGAGGTTGATGAGTGGTAGTAAGTGAGTTAGATAGCTCACAGTCAACATCAAACTTTTCATTCATCTTTTGAATCAAGTCGCCCTTCCATAGTGAATTCACAACTGGAAAAACCGTATCAGAGATACCTTCACATAGAGGCGGGGATGAAGTCTAACCATCTTGAGATTCGCTCGAAGACAAAAAAATTGTGCTAACGAAGCAAAAGGAAAAAAGGCGCGTCATCAGAATACCCTCCCCGACGCGAATTACACACTGAGACGCACCAATGTGAATCAATAGCCATCTCCAGCGCACTAGCAGGATCACTCTCATCTCCGTCGATCTGTAAATGTGTATACCTCGTGGCCATGACCGCAGCCAAATGGTCCGGGGCTGTCAAATGAACGATTCGACGCGCAAGAACCTCGCATGCAATTGCTTGGGAAGGAGGTAGAAATGTTATGTTATGTGTGCGAGGGAAAGATAAAAGAGCCTACCTCGACCAAAGTTTTCGTCATAATCGGCAGCATTATGGTCGGCGTCCCACATAAATTCTGCACGAGCGCGCAGAAGACAATACGGCAGCTGAATCATACAGTAACAAAGTGTAAGTCCTTACCAGGTACAAATCAATAGTACCATTTAACTCACGGTTTCGTCAAAGTCTCCAGCAGCAGCTCTAAACGCTGAGATTACCTGCGGTGTTATAATTCGACTTGTTGGCTCATTGACTGCTTGTGGATCAACCTCCACCGGAAGGAGCTTGAG